TATCTACTAATACTTGGTATATTAAAATTTACATCAGTCAAAATTGGTTTAAATAACAATTACCCTGCCAAATCACTTTAAGTTAAAAATCACTGTCCAACTTTGGCTCTCATATCACCCAACTCACGCTCACATGACTTAAGTCTACAGCAATTTAGCACGATGGCTTACAGAGGTAGTAGCTTTATTGGCTTTTCCCTTGTGAGATTTTGTGTTCATGCGTCTAAGGAGCACTCCCCTGCCATAAGTGTTTGTAAAAGTTCTCACCACTTTCACCATAAAACGGAAGGACTCATCTTCATCTAGTTCATTGTCAATGGTGGCATCCCACTTACACAGAAGAGAAGGAGTAGCAGCAACAATATCCATTACAGCTTCGTGGCCAATACTTCCATCTGGACGCTCAAGCTTCTGAACAATTTGAGCCAGCTCCAAAAAAAAGGCAAATGCAGTGTCATTTACAAACATGAGACTTTTTCTTTTCAAAAGATAGGTCCAATAGGATTTGTCTTTTTCTTGGCATACAGAGGGGGTCCCAACTGTAGCAATTTTCTTCAATATACAGTCCTTCATTCTTCTTAGTCTAGGATTATTTTTGTAACGATAAACAAGCCTAAATTGAGATTTCACAGTACTTCCAGCAATATAATGAACAACTCTATGACTCATAGCATTAGAAAAATCATCTTTGGAACGTAATTGGTTCCCTAAACCAGCTCTAGCACCAAAAGATTTAATAAGGTACACTAAAGCTAAATTCCCTAATTTGCGGTAGAATTCTAAAATGAAAGGGTATGCAACATTTGTGGGGACCAAGTGGATTCTTAACAGTTTTTCCAAGACATCATCACGAAATTCCTTATCACTGAGCTTAGTAGATATGTTTTGCAAGATACTTCCTCGTACTGCAGATGGAAATGCTGCCCCTTTCTTCCCAATTTTCCATTTGTTCAGTCCAGCTACAACAGCATCAGTAAGGGTTTTCAGGAAAGTAGTCCATTCTTCTGTATCATTTTTTGCTTTTACAGCAGAAATCAGGTCCGTCATCTGCTGCCCATAAAGACCAGGATACTTATTTTCTTCCAAAACTTGCAAAATAGAGTGACCCTCTTCCATGCAGTGTGATGCAATCTCTTTCACAGGTACTTGTTTGGTGGCAAGATCTACATCCAGAACAAAGGGAAAAAACTATTAAAATTAAGAATGTCACTAATACCACTTTTAACTGATAATCAAATCAGTACATACCTTTCCATTGATGAGAACGCATATGGTTGTTGAAGCCATCACTTGACCTAAGACCACTACCGCACTTCGGACAACGAGCAAAAATTTTGGGGGCTTCTGGTTTCTTGAAGGGATCGGCCTGCTGCTGGCTTCCAACTTCATTTTTTTTTTTACGAGAACTTTGAGTGCTAGACTTCCCACCCCTCTTGCTCCTTTTACTAACCCTCTTGGTGGGCGTGCTCACGCAGGACGGACCCTCAGTGTCAGATACCTCATCTGATTGTTCTGATTGAAATGATGTTTCCGAAAATGAAACATTAGAGTTGTCAGTCGATTCTATGGTCTCTTCTAAACAGCTCGGGTCGTCAGCTTCATAGCTAACATTCATTTCCTCATCACTGTCCATTTTGTTAAGTAAATATTCCGAAAGTCGTCACGATGTCGGCAAAACCAGAAAACAACAACATTCAAAACAAAGCCGCCAGGTTCGCTCCGACGGCGGCGCGACAGTAGCGCTCCTAGCGGCGGGGAGCGGCCGGGCCGTTCCGCGGCGCGTGAGTGGCGGTGGCCTCCGGCTGGCGGAACGGTGCGCATCGGGTACGGTGCGGCTTTAGCGGGTTCTCATTCAAACTTGGTGATACTGCCAAAAAGTGTGATGTGACTAAAAACTCAAGTGGACCTTGGAGAACGCGTCGGTGAGTCGGGATTTGTGATTCATGCATTTAGTGACGAGGAATAACGTGCGCAGTGCGAGAGGTTAGGGGGGCGGCCGGGAATAGATTCCGCTCCAGGTAAAGCCATTCTCACAAGATGAAATAACGTTGTATACACTAATATTTGAAATTCAAATTCCACAGGCGGGCAAGAGGAAGAAAAGGGTCAACCGCCACAAACCCAGAGAGTGCGCTGCGAGGGGTAGACGACTGGGCGGCTCCTGTGTACAGGCCAAAATGTACTCCAGGTGTTCTCCGATTGTACTCCGACTGTACTCCGTGTACTTCGTACTCCTGTGTACACGAAAAATTCAAGTCGCCCACCCCTCGGTGCGCTGCCTGTGGGGAAAAAAACCAGCAATGTGGCGTTGTGTTTTGCAGGTTTCCCTCAGACCCTGCCAGGTATGTTTGATGTGAGACCTTGCATTGAGTATATCTTTAAAATTCAAGTTTACATCAAATCATTATTTAGTGAATAACAGCTGGTGTAGTTTGAAACCGTAAAAGTTTGTATATCTGTCATACATTGCCATCTGTCATTTTGCACGCTGACTTGGGCATCACTTTTCCATTGCATGGAAATAATTAAGAAAATAATATCTATACTTTCTAAAATTCTTGATATGATTTAGTTTACACAGGTACTAGGCCATCATTAATGTCATTATTGCTTCCTTGAAAGGAAGCAATCTGGAGCAGAGGTACGTGTGTAGTATTAATAGTTTGCAGAGGTAGCGGGCCATCACTTATGTCTTTATTCCTTTCATGGAAGAAAGCAATCTGGAGCAGGTATGTTGTAGTATTAGCTAATCCAATCACAAAAAGTAACAAGTGGAAGTGGGTGTGGTTGCATGATTCAAAAATTAATGGATTTCTGATTTTTGTCCTATTTTAAAATTGTACACACTGAACAGAATAAAGTCAAAGTGATGTCATATGATGTCAAAGGGGTCATTTTGATGTCATTTTAACATCATTTTGATGTAAGAATGTGGTCAAAATGATGTCAAAATGTCCCCCTTGAATTTAAATTACATCACTTTGACATTTTTGTGTTCAGTGGGTAGTTTGAAAATGAGTGAAAAGCTGTCTTCACATTACATGTGTCAAAATGGTTCGACCCCATCGTGTTTATCAAACCATAACAAACTATGTACTCTGTTTGTTTTCTTTCAAAACAAAAATAACTTTTTTTTAAAAAAAGACTTTCATTTTCTATTTTTTAGGCAACGCATATGGCTGAAGAGGTCTTGCAACAAAGAGCTGCTCAAACTCTCTCCACAAAAATTAACTTCTTGTTTTTTTTGTGGGGACCATTTTGAGCCGAGTAGCTTTACAAACAAGTACAGGCGACGGCTGCTGATGTATGCTTATCCTACAATAAATCCTGATAAGCCGCAGCTGGATGATGCAGATCTGGATAGATTTTATGCAGGTATGTTTGTGGTACAGTTTGTAACTACTAAATTTTAGTCCCCCTAGGGATCTTAAGTGCGTTTACAGAGACATTAAATTCAAAATTTATTTGAACACCCTTACAAAGGTGTGATTTTAGCACCTTTCTTTTTCCACTGTTTACACACATCCTTGACCATTAACTGATGTTATTCATTGCAGGAGTGGTTGAACCTGTTCAACATCAGGATCAGGAACTTACTGTTCCAGAGTCGTCAGAGCAAGTTGACGACCCTGCCTCATCTCCTAGACAGCACCGTAAGTTGGTCTACTCACTCCTATTTACCCCTAATGTTTGGATATTTTTTTTTCTCTATTCACTCTTTTTCTTCCATAAAAAAATTGCTGGTTTTGCGCTTGGTTCTCTTTCCTTATTGCGAGTGAAAGCCAGCTGACACCTTAAAATTCATATCTTTCTTGAAAAATTTACATTTACCAAGTTTTTAATAACACAAAATTTAATTTGATGTTGTTTAGCGTTTCGGGAGGGAAGGGGGGGGGGGAAGGGGCAGTTCGGGCTGAGTAGCCACCTTCATTCGTGGTGGCTTGTGTCCTCGTGGTCCGTGCCTGTGATACGGGTAGATATGTACTGCCTGACCTGTTTGCCGTCCTTCCTCCTGGTGAGGCGCACGACGCCCGTTGAGAGTCAGACGGCCTGACGACGTTCTGGGCGAGTACCTCGCACTTGACGGCCTTCTTCTGCTTGTAGACGTCCAGCCTGCGAGGTTCCTGCTTGATCGGGGGAGGGGGGGGAGAGGGGGGGCGAGGGGGCGGTCGCCCAGTCGGCCCCGGATGAGGCGCCTGAAGATAGGCAACATGCGCCTGCATGTAGGCAACCTACTGGATAGCGCCCACCCGTCAGTTGGGCTTATAACCTGCTCGACAGTCTCCGGCGCCCCCCCCCCTTTCCCCCCGGCGTTCCCCTTTGTCGCGGCGGCCTTGGTGCGGGCAGCGGATTTCCTTCCAGATTGCTCATGTCTGCCTGGGGAGTGCGAAGCTCTGGAGCCGGACCTGGAGTTGGGCCTGGAGCCGGAGGTCCAGCGCGCGAGCGGCGGTGGCGGGTCGTTGGGCACGAGGCTGTACTCGAGGAAGTCCGGCTGCAGGGGCAGGTCGCGGGGCTCGATGTGCTGGAACGGGTCGATGCAGATGGCGATGCTCGCACGCCTGCGAGCAAGTGAGCGCGCCGCGCACGGCCCGCACCGCGGCACCACCACGCCGTGCTTGAGCATGAGCTTGAGTCGAGGGTCGGAGTTGACGCGCGCGGCCAGCCACAGCTCCTTGTGGTCGCGGAGGCCGTCGCAGTCGCTGAGGTGGAAGGGCAGCGCGCCCTGCAGCCCGGCCTGCAGGGCGAGGTCCAGCGACAGGTGACCAGGTGGCCCCGCGGGGAAGTTTGGCGGTGGCCTAGGCTGGCGCAGTTGCTACTGCTGCTGTTGTTGGAGTTGTTGCTGTTGCGGGTGACCCGCACCCGCTGACGGTCACTGCGGTCACTGCGGTCACTGCGAGCTGAAGTGGCGGTACGGGCACTGAGGCATGTGCTTGTACCGGGTGTAACTGAGAATGCGCAGGAGTGTTGCGCCGTTGCGGGTATGCCTGCCCAATTCGCCCATAAGGCGCCATGGCCCCTGCAGCCTAGGCGGGTATGCAATCCCGCAACACTGCTGCGCATTCTCAGTTACACCCGGTACGGACAGTACGCGCTCGCCGACTCTGAGCCGGACGTGGAGCCAACGAAGCCCGACCCGGAGTTGGACCTAGGGTCGGAAGCGGATACGGGGATCTTAGCTTTGGCTGGGGCCGGAGTGCGGGCGGGCGCCGCGCGGCGGGACAGGAGTTTCTTGCTGCAGGTGCGTGGCGCTCATCTGGGGTGGCGCGGATCTGGCCAGGCCCCACCCCGTGGCCGAGCCCAGGGCCGCACGTGGAGAACGTCGCCGTCGTGGAGCTCGGGCCGGCGGCGTTTGGAGAGGAGATGTCGTTCGCGAGGCGGTGCAGGTGCGGCTGCACCGACCTGCTGAGGGGCATGAGCCTCTTCACGGCCTGGCAGTGGCGAAGGGCCGGGAGTGGTGCTCACGCCACCCGCGTCCCACGTCCAGCGACAGCAGGTGGTTGTTGTTGGTGAGGCTGGTGATGTTGTTGTTCACACTGTGCGCGGGCAGCATGCCAGCATCGCAATCACGCGATGAGCTTAACGAAGAGAAGGTGCTGGTCGTGTCGCCACCATCATCGCTGTAGTCCAGGTCCGTGGTCCGTACGGCTGTCGCGGCTGGCCCACGAAGTTGTCAAGTTAACGCGGATCCGTGCGTGACGCAAAGTCCGCAGCGTCCGTGCGGATCCGCGTTAACTTCACTTTAAATCTTTTACAAAGAATTTGTTCGTATAATGCAAAGAATTCTGTGCAACCGTAATATACCAGAAATTTCCTTGTATTACAAGAAATTTCCTTGTATTAAACAAAAGTTTTCTTTGTATTACAATGATTTTTCTTTGTATTACAATGATTTTTCTTTGTATTACAAAGAAAATTTGTCTTTGTATTACGGTTGCACAAAATTCTTTGTAGTACAAGAATTTCTCTTTGTAAGAATTAAAGAGTGTTGACAACCTCCAC